TGACCGGGGGATACATAAAATAAGTTTTGTAAGAAAAAAAAAAAAAAAAAATCGGATATTCATTATTGTAGAGCACGTATGCAACGCGTGATATACGCTAAGCACATAGAATTTCAATTTATTTATTTTATTTTGGACAATGGAAGGTACGTGTAAAATAAGAAAGAACATAAAAAATATATATAGTTGAAACCGACCCTAGATTAGATTTGTCAACGATGTCGGACGATTAACAAAAGAAATAATGCAATGAGGCGGTGACACGTAAATAGCTATTTTGTCGGAGTCAATGATCCAAAATACAACGAAGCCTCCCTCTCCGCATGAGTAAACGCAAAAATCTGTACGTTCTGCTTCCACGTCCTACCTCCTCTCTACTCCGTCAAACTAAAAGTCTAAACCTGCTTCCTGTTTTCTTCTTCTTTCAGACGCTATACTGAACACTTGTGACAATACGCCAGCTCCTTTTCCGTTTCCACTTCACCACTACTGTAGTTATTATTTTATTGGATAAATCTATGATGCCGGAAAATTATAATGCCCGAAGAACTTTGACCCATCGAAACCCATCTGATCTGAATTTTGATGAACACTACTATCTGATTAGTTGCCACTTTATTCTATTGATTGATTGATTATAAATTTTTACAGATATCATCTTTTCGGCATTGCTTTATGATACCCAAAAAAAATCTTATAATTTTTTACAACTGGTATAATAAACGTGTTAAACAATTAAGTGTTTATTAATCAATTTTGCCCCCCTCTCACGGGGTTAATCCTGTTATAGAACCCTCGACATAAATTTGTGATGTAACATTATTTAATTTGTTATTAACAAGTATGGACTTAAAAAAGAATATGACTAACAAAATCGTTGTTGTACCTCCAACATGCTCATATTTCCTGCTGAGACGGCCCTGAATTATATACCTAATTTTTCATCTTATGACTTGGTCAAGTGCAATGTGGCCAAAGAAGCAGGCAATTGTGTTGTTCTTGTACACGGTATTAATAATGGAAATTAAAGATGAGAGGGCCGCTTTCTAATATGGAATAGTAATTTTAGTGATAGAAAATTTAGGAGAGTGTGCAATTTCAGCCACATTTAACTTTGGGCTTTTATGTGTGATTATATATATATATATATATATATATATATATATATATATATAATTTTAAGTTCAAAAGCCTTTACTAAAAACAAGTTAAAATACTATCATGATAGAAAGACGATATTGGAAATAGGGGTGTAAACGGTATTCAAAAAATTGATTTTGAATTCAATATTTGATATAACCGAATTTAATTCGGATAATTTTATTCATATCGAATAGTTAATGGAATTCGAATTCGGATATGACCTGATTCGATTCAATAAATATTCGAATTCAACCGATTATTTAATTATTATATATAATATATAAAATATTTTATGTAATTTATATATAATAATTAAGTTATATAAATAATTTATATATTTGTATACTTATATCAGTAAAATATTTATTTTATATATTTATTAATTATCTAAAATAATTAATTAATCGAATCGAATATTTAAATATTTAATCGGATTCGAATTCGGATATTAATTTTCAATATCCGTTGTATATCGAATCAAATTCAGATATCGGATTTTTTAAATTGGATTTGAATTCGGATATTGCCTTATCCGATTCGGATTCGATCCGTTTACACCCATAATTGGAAATTAATGATGAGTTTTCATCAAAATTCATGGTGTGTGTGGGGGGGTGGGGGGTTGATTGGTCAAAATCTTTCTTGTTTTTTTCTACCAATTGTTGGGTGGCTCAGTTGGTACAGTTGTTGGAGTCTGGATCTGCTTCTCATAGAACGTGCCTCACACTAATCTTACACCCGTAGGCGGCCCACGCAAAGTGCGGGTCATGCCGTGCTGGCCTGCGAACCCTCATGGGCCATGCCACCCTCCCTAGTGAAAATTTTGGGGGTTCGTGCCATGCCACGGGCCAAGCCTTGGCCCAAGTCAGGCCATAAACCGGGCCAAAGCTATTTTTGCCTATTTATTTAAAAATTTTGAAAAAAAATAAAATTTTAATTTTATATGAATTTTGATGTATACAATTGCTTATATATACAATAATTAAATAAATTAGTATAATAAAATTGAAAATTTTATTTTATTAATATATTATATACTATATATTATTATATAATTATAATTTATATAATATATTATATATTATATATAAATAGAATATATGGGCCGTGCCAGGCCAGCCCGATTTACACATCTATGTGAGGAGCAAATCCCAATTGCAGTTATTGGTTTGTTCCATCAAAGACATGGGATCAAACCCTGCTTGGACCAGGTGTTGGGGGTTATGATCATCATTGTATCGTGGATGGGCTACCCTGTTATCTAACCCATTGAACCCAAAAGAAAAAAAAAAGAAAAAAACATAGTATATGTTTAGCATCGATGCTACAGTTGCAACACCATTTTCTTAGAAAGCGGTGCCTTTATTTTTGTTTGGAATTGTTGTTGCTAGGTAGGACATTTGTTGGAGCAGCAACTTTTTTTATTTGGTACCATTGCTCTAGGAAACGTTTTTAGCACTGATACCCATCAGTGTACTATTGGCAGCAACGAGCTGCAGCTCTAGGAAATGCCAAATTTGACATTGCTCCAAGCCATGGCTTCCCGATTTCCGAGGCATGGCTTGGAGAACCGTTTTTTACAGAAAAACGATTCCAAACAAATACCCGTTTCCTAAAGCACTATTTTTCCAATGTGACGCTGATGTGGAACCGTTGCTCCAGGAAACGGAAATGATGCCAAACAGCCCCATAATAATCCTAAAATACCATAATTTTGTCATTTTGCAATAATGCTAAAGCAAACCTTCGTCAACCAAAAGTCTTGTAATGAAAACCCAACTTCATCCCAATCCAATATGAATTATTTTGAATTGGGTCACGGTTTACCTCAACTTTGGGTTGGACTGGATATTGGTCTAACCCAACCCATTTCAATATGAATCTATTACAGATAGATCAAGTCCAATCCAATTCATGAATGCTTTGGACCGTATTAGATAGGTTCAATTCAATGTCTATACCGTTCAATTTGTTCAAATTCGCTTTAATTTACATTGTATTCAATCCAAACATGATCCATTGACACATGTACTTTTATATTCTATCAATGAACCCAATATTGATTCGATCCTATTCAGTCCAATATAAATTCATTACAGATGGGTCAAGTCCAGTCCAATCTAATAAATACTTTAGACCATCAAATCTGCACTGGTCTAATTCAATATATCTTATTGGACTGTCCAATCTGTTTAAATTAAATTTAATTTGAGTCGATCAAACCCAAACCCCATCCATTGACACCCTGCCTCAACCGATCCAATCCACTAAATTGTTATTTGGCTTTAGGGATAGCACATCTCTATACCCTTGACCCATAACCTCCACCCTAGTTAATTCCCATTTACCAATTGTATCCTTCAACCACAGAGACATTACCAATTGGGCATTTTAATTGGTGGACTTTGGACTTTTTTTTTTAATATTTTGACGCCAACCTTGGACTTAAATGCTTGTGTTTTCCATATACATATTGAGGAGCGCAACGCTTTCCACCTAGCTAAATTGTACGTTAGCAGTACAAAGTATAAATTCAATGGTTATGCAAAAAATAAATGCTTGGGCGCCAACCATCAATATTGTCGGACTTGAATCGGACGTAATGGTCCAATAGGCGATATCCGGTTCAATTACTTGACTGGTTTACGGGTTGCTTATAAACAACATGGTGCACGGTCTACGTATTTGGGATGAAAACTGTTATTATTCATCACCCATTCACCATGCAAGACTAGACTGACACTGCCAAAGCCAAAACTCAAAAGGTCCCATACATACAAGGCTATTCACTGTACCTCTACAGCCCACAGGGAATAGTGGCTGTGAGCTGTTCCGACTTCCGACTTGACGTACAGGTACCGCACCTGTGGCGGTCGGTACATATCTCATATCTGCAGTTTGTAGACTCTGGACTCCAAAGGTGAAAGGGCTGACACACAGTCAACCCAGTCTACCGAAGGGATATTTCCGTAAAAATACTCGTTATTTATCTGAAAACGCGTTTGATTTGGCCAACGCTGGTTCGCTCATTTGCTGCACATTAGTACGACTACGAGTGAGAAATCTACAACCCCGTCTCAAAGAGTTATTATTATTTTGTAGAGAGTCCAAATTAATTTATTTTTGAAAAGACATTTCTATCCCTGTAGGCTGTGGCTGTGACTGCGACTGTGACTGTGAGAGGAAGAACAGATTTCTCATGAATGAAATTAATTTATTTTTTCGAAGTTAATGTGAAATGACGTCATCTACAACGCTACCTCATTCATATCCCCGGTTCCCGATCCCGCGAAGGCCGATGAATTACGATCGTCGATCGATCATTCATTGTTCTGAACTGTTAGTGGAATTCATTTAATTGCATCTCATCCAAATACCCCTCAACTTTCCCATATTGTTAAAAAATCCCTCAATACAACTGGAGAAGTGCCAAAAGCCCCTCACTCACTAACACATCTCAATTATCAAATGGGGTTGATATTTTATTTAAAAGACATCTGACATCTCATAGTGGGGGTGGGGGACAGAGAGAGTTTACACACTCAGGGAATTTTAGAATATATTACCTTACAAACAAAAAAGTATTTTTAGAATAAGCAATTCTATCCATCTATCTTTACCAAAAAAAAAACAATAATAAGATTTGGGGCCTAACTTCATGTGCAATGTCCAATTCTTCTTCCATCTGATCGATCATAACGGTGATGAATGCCCAATACAAAGCCAAAGGCGCGTTTATTATAATACTCTAGTAGCACATGTATCTAGTGTTCTTAAGTTTTCAGAAATTTAAGGGCATTCTCGTCATTTTGCAATAAAATTTTTAAGCCATGTAATTTACGTTTAGAGACTTTAGACTTTGGAATAGAATACGCAGGGAGAGAAGCGTAGAGCATGAGTCTTGAAAAGATTTATTTCTCTTTATGCTCTTCGGTTCTGCGTTTTCCATCCAATCCAACTCTATGTTACAGAGAAAAAGGGGAGAGACGGAAGCGTTAGGGTTTCGCTTGGTTTTCGTTTCCGTTGATTTTTGAGGTCTTTTTCTTTTCCCTTCTGTCGTATACTCGAAATCTCATAGAAATTTCAGAATCATTAAAGAAGTGCGGAGCAGAGGTAGAAGAGAATAGCAGAGAAGACCTTAAGGCTTTAAGCAGAGCAGAGCAGTTCATTTGTGAACGGAGATTTCTTCTATGTCGCGCAATTATCAGTTTTTCTGTTATTTGAAGTCCTCATCGCTGAACTTCAAATAGGGAGAAAAGGCCAATGAATTTTCAGACGCTTCTGCTTTCTATTCTACCTGTTATCAGCGTCTTGTTCATCTCAATTCGAGTCATCTCCCATTGAAGATGAATTTTCACCACAGAAATCTGCTCCTATGCTTCGTGATTTCCTTTTTCCCTTTAATTGCCTCTGAACACTTATCCCCCTGCAGCTCAACATGTGGCTTAGTCAAATTCCCCTATCCGTTAGGATTCTCCAAAGATTGCCCAATCAGTTTGAATTGCACCAACGGGGAGGCTTTCATCGGCGAGTTTAAAGTCAAAAACGTTACTTCGGACAGTATCTTGGTCCATCTACCGCCTAAATGCAAACGTCCGATCGAGAATCTGAAACAGCTCTTCCAAGCGAACTACGCTCTGACTTGGCAAAACGGGCTATTGTTAGAGAACTGTACTTTGCCGGTGAACGGATGCTCGATTCCGGCCCCGCTGATGGAAATTCATTTTGAGAAGCAAGTTTGCTCCAAAAATAGAACAAACATAAAATGCTTTGCCAAGGGAGGGAAGGATTTCATGAAATATGATGACGTGAATGAGGTTAATTGTAAATACTTATTCTCGTCCATCGCAATTGATTCGAATAGTAACTCCTCCTCTCTCTCCCTCGAGTTTCAGACGGTTCAGGTCGGTTGGTGGTTAGAAGGTAAGTGCGATTGTTCTAAGAATGCGAACCTGACGACATTCAAAATACCCAACAATGGGACTGGATGCCGTTGTCAATGCAACAAGGGATTCGAGGGAGATGGGTTCAAAGCCGGTGTCGGTTGCCGTAAAGGTAATTTCTGGTCGCCAGAATTTTACGTATTTACTTGATAGTTGCTTTAATTTTAAGGACAACAATGGAAACACTGCAATAGCATTTCCTCCATTCCACAGACTTTTCAAGAGTGAGCTTTTTTACAGGAAAGAAAAACGTTTATAAGAGGAAAGCTGTCTTAGTGGGGATATTTGGTCATTTTATAAAACTTTTTGGGGAGCTCGAGTCTGTGAGTGTGAGACATGTTCTTAGACTGCGGAACCATGGATTAAAATCTAAGCATAGTACACAGTTCTGAGAAATTCTTCTTCTTCCTCTGGTTTTTGCAGTCCGGTCTTTGGTTTACCCTCTACATATGTTGTTTGTTTTATTTGGATAAATCCGGAGCATTCCTCAAACTTCCAAAGAACGGAATTGTGGTCTTGTCCGTCAATACATGGACCACCGTTTGCTCTAGAGTCAAATTCCACGTAATGGAACGATCCTGACCGTCTATTTTATTCCATGATTGGACGATAACTGGGCACTTGTCACTCATTAGCACATGGTCAAGCAAAGTGGATGATCCGTATTCTTTCACCCAAAACCAAAAAGAGACAGTCATTCAAACCCGAACTCAGAAATTCAAACCCGTATTGCCAGTTCATCAATTTCGTCGTCATAGTTGGGACTTGGGATAGCCATAGGGGGATTTTAGACGGTTTGGAACGGAATCCGTCGAAAAAATGGAAAAAACAAAAAAAAAAGAAAAAAACAAATTGGGAAACCCTAAAAAAGTATTTAATGAATTGACCAAATTATATGGACCGTGAATACAGCCCCTGCTGCTGCTAGGTATCCAACTTCTAAAAAAATAAATTAAACACAGAAAACCCAAAATGTCAATTGTCAAACATGCAAAGTTGCAAACTACTCTCGCGTTCTGGAGTATAGTCCGCCAACGGGTAGCCCTTATGGACAGATCTATATTTGTAAATTAAATATAGATTGACAGTAAAATATCTATAAAACTTGTAATTTCTATTATAAAGTTCAGCGTTCTTGCTCTTCCTTTTAGAAGGAATGAATGCTTTGGAGGGGAATGCTAGCGACTTAATAGACAATTCAAGAGTTTAGGTGGTTCCATCATGCCCCGCCTTCTTAAGTTCATTTGGCTGGTCTGGTTAGGAACCACCTATATTACACGTATTCCTGCATAATATGTGGTATGGTCCTGGTTTGGGTACACTTATGCTCAACCAGGGCACGTTCCCTGAATCCAATGTAATTGCTGGAACAACAGTTCAGTTGCAGACTTGCATCCTACAGGGACATCTTAACTTCTGAGGGGACTAAATCAAGATTCAAACTTTTTCTGTCCTTCCCTCTTGTAGCTCCTGTACTAACTTTTGCTATTGTCCTTTCTACTGAGCAGTCAAATGCAATCCTTCAAAGTACATGTCAGGGCGATGCGGAGGAACCACCAGAGTTGTTGTCTTAATTGGAGGTAACCGGAACCGGCATTCTTCTTTTCTTCTTATTACTAATTGGAAGCATAACAAAGATCAAATCGCAAAGAATTCATAATTGTTTGGAATGAATTCATTTATTGAAATCCTAACTAATTTTAGTGACCGAAATTGGGACTGTTTCTATGACTCAACTCAGCCATTATTGTGTACTTCATAGTTTCAGTAGTTAAAAGTTAAAACTCATAGCTATGACCTCTCTTGGACTAGCAAAACATACTAGCATTTCTACCATCTGGATTGGTGAATTTTTAATGCATCATTTTGGTCTTGAATTGCAACTAGCTAATAACAATTATATTGCTCATCCGGCTATCTTTTGTGTTATTGTTTCATCCTTCTGTCCAGATACCCCCTCTGGGTTATGTATTCTGGCACTGAATTACTTAGATAAGATTTTATTTTCAAATCCAGCAAGAAGGATATTCCACACTTATTGGCTTCAATATCTTGTGCAGCATTTGGCATTGTGTCTAAAAGCACATAGTTGGCTTCTGATCTCTATTAAATTGGAAATGACTCTTCTGTCATTTTATCATGCCATACTGTTTTTACGGAAAGAAATATCCAAAACCAGATAAAGCATATGCATTTTAATATATTTTGGCTTATCAACATCCAGGAACCCAGAAGCTATATATGTGCTTTTTAATCACAACTAAATTTCCAACCACACATAAATCTTAGAAGGAAAAAAGTTCACTAAATATCTTCTTTGTCATTCTTCTGCATAGAATATATAGAAGCTGTAGTTGGTTTGAGCCAATCTCAACTACATTCTGTATCTGGGCAATGGCCTTACTGGTTCTATACGTTGATCTCAACTGCCATGCATATATAGATTAGACTTTATATGTTTGAAAAAAGTAATTATGAACATCTTCAGAGTCCAACCAATGCATTTACTATGAACAGTGCGGAGCTGAATTTTAATTTTCCAATTTTAAAGGGCCATTATGGCATTGTCTAATATTGGTCCTAGCTATCTGTAGTCTTGTGAGGGGTGAACTGGATACAGAACTAACATTTGGCTTTTCTCTTGGAACAAATTGGCTGATCTCAGTTTGTGCTACCTAATTTAATTTCTAAAATTGAATTACTCATTTCTCAGGCATTATTGCTGGAGCTTCTCTAATGGCCGGGTTGTCTCTTCTCTGCTACTTCATCCGAAGGCGATTTACTTCGTTGAAAACCTGGAAGAGCAAACGCCTACTATCTGAAGCTGCAGGTGGTCTGACTGTCCCTTTTTATCCTTACAAGGAAATTGAGAGAGCCACAAATTGCTTCTCAGAGAAACAGAGGCTGGGAACTGGAGCCTATGGAACAGTTTATGCAGGAAAGCTTCACAATGATGAGTGGGTAGCTATAAAAAAGATCAGACACCGAGATACTGAAGGAATGGAACAAGTCATGAATGAGATCAAGCTCCTTTCATCTGTAAGCCACCCAAATCTAGTCCGCCTCTTAGGTTGTTGCATAGAGAGAGGTGAACAGATCCTTGTATATGAGTTCATGCCCAATGGAACTTTATCTCAGCATTTACAAAGGGAAAGAGGTAATGGTCTCCCTTGGACAATTCGCCTCACCATTGCAACTGAAACTGCTCATGCCATTGCCTATCTCCACTCCACCATGAACCCACCCATTTACCATAGAGACATCAAATCGAGCAATATTCTCTTAGATTACAATTATAACTCAAAAGTTGCAGATTTTGGTCTTTCTAGACTTGGAATGACAGAGTCATCCCACATCTCAACTGCCCCACAAGGGACTCCAGGATATGTTGATCCTCAATATCATCAGAACTTTCATCTCTCTGACAAAAGTGATGTTTACAGCTTTGGGGTGGTTCTTGTGGAGATCATCACAGCAATGAAGGTGGTGGACTTCTCTAGGCCCCACAGTGATATCAATTTGGCTGCCCTTGCCATAGACAGAATTGGGAAGGGATGTGTAGATGAGATCATAGACCCATTTCTTGAACCACATAGGGATGCTTGGACCCTTTCATCCGTTCATAAGGTAGCAGAGCTGGCATTCAGATGCCTTGCATTTCATAGGGACATGAGGCCCTCTATGATGGAAGTGGCAACTGAGCTAGAAAATATAAGGCTAAGCGGGTGGGCCCCTATGGAGGAGAATGTCTGCATGGAGTCTTCAGTAGCATCCTCATGCTCATCACCATCTAATTTGAGTGAGAAGTCACATGGGGTGGCTGCTAAGAAAGTAGGGCTAGGGAATCAGAGACTGTTTGTGCCACAGAGAGATGAATGCATAATTTCAACAGAAATGAAAGATAATTCACCCGTTTCTGTGCAGGATCCCTGGTTCAGTGAACAGAGCTCCCCTTCAACAAACAGTTTGTTGGGTAATGTAATACACTGAACTGGAAGTTGTTGTTTCGGGTTTACAGTGGGTGGTTTCATCTGAATTTGTGAATACAAGAGGTATTTTTGTAATTTGGTATTTTTCTCATTGCTCAAATATCTTTTATGGGTCTGCTTTTCCTTTCCAATTAGGAAGTTATGACCTCCCTCTTAATTATTTTTATTACATTAAAAGAGATGGACAATATTTGAATTTTGAAAGATGTAGAGACCAATCTTAGGCACATTAAATGTATAAGTGTGACAATGTAATGAGAATTGCCCAACTCTCTCTCTCAAGCATATTTATTTATACATACACTTACCAAATAGCCTAATTAGAGCCAGAGGATTTCACTAAAGAACACCTGGAATAGAATTAATAAAGCTGTAAGGAATTCCTTTTATCCAAAGTATTTCCAAAAAAAGCACATAAGACAGCGTTTATGATGCTGAGATCAAAACAGAAACTACTCAGAAGTGAATCTTTTGAGACTTATCATCTGGTGTGAAAATTTATTGTTACTCAAGTATCCACTGCACAATACTACCTTTTGTGATAAAATACTCCTAAAGAATATGGATCAAACAAAAAATAAAATTTACATACTGTGGAGATGGACATTAAGCTTTATCCTTTCAATATTTTCTAGTCTTAATGGTTGCTATAGATAAAATGTTAAGAATTCCAGGATCAGGACAGCATTTGTTATTCGTTTATTTTTAGTTGGTTGGCATTTCACATTCCCTCGTATTGAGGTGCTCATCATTTCAAAACAACATTTCTTCTTTCCATGGCTTCATAGAAATTCCAATTCACTAGTATTTTGACATGTTGATATTCTTAAGAGGTAAAAAGAAATCTGTTGTATGCAATGTGTTCTAATCCACCACAACTTGTATAGTGGGTATGGAATGTTTTAATCATACTGCAGGCAGGTTGGTTGAGCCGTTGTTTGAATAAAATTTAACTTGTGTAATGCAGCAAATGCACCAGTTTATGCATACGTGACATTTGTATTCTTTTCTTAATTTTCTTTTGTTTTTCATGTAGAGCACATGAGACATTTCACAAACACCTATTTCTAATTTTTCCTCCGTTCACAGACTGCATATAGGGTAGGCTTGAAATCATCATTTTCCACTCCATTTTCCTGGTTTCATCCTTGTTCACACAAGATTTAGTGAAATAAATTTGCTTCCATTATTTGGCAAAGTTTTTCAGAATTGATACCAAGTGACATCAGAGTTACTACCGATGCTGTTTTCTTATTATGTGGTTTTTGCAGGTTTGTTTGATAAGTTTTATTAACACAACTAGGGCAATTAACAGGGCAAACCTAGTTTGTCTGCCATGAGTTGAGCTAGAGCTTAAAATTAATATTTTGTTTTTTTCATGGCTAAAATATTTAGTAATTAAAAATCTATTTATGTAGGAAATGTTAATAGCACAGAACAGAATCTTGTGAATGTACCCGTCAGAACAGAATCTTACATTAGAAATTAAAAAGGGAAGTATTCGCACAGATCATATGTTTTCTTGTTATTAATTCTTTTTTTTTATGTGGTTGTTGTGGGTTTCTTGCCTTTGGATTACGAGCTTTTCAAACTTTCAAACTTTGACCTAAAACGAGTATAATCTTAAAGCCGGAATAGACCCTGAGGCTAGGTTAGTGGTTGTTTTAACATTTATTTCTGTTGAATATACCCACCTGGTAAACTTTTTGATTTTATCTAGCGCCAATTGGCGAGTCTGAAAACCCAAAATCTCAAACATATTGACATATCTCTACAAACAGACACATCATTGTTCATTCAAGCGAACAAGCAAACAGTGTCTCGGCCCTCCCCTAACTGGGGCAAGGGGTCAAGCAGAATTGGTCTCGCTGCTAGTCAGTTAGTCACCTGCAAGAAACTCCAGAGCTTTTCATATTCGATGGGACAATATGACTTTGGGACATTGTCTTGCTGCCATAGTCTTCATTCAAGCTTGAAATCTCTGCTGGCTGCTGCATTGCCCAAGGAAATAAAATGAGTTAAAAAAAAACCCAAAAAAGGAAGAAACCAAGGTTTTTAAAATGGGATCGGACAGGAAACCGTTCTTGGTTCGGTTACTGGGTCGAATGGTCCGACTGTTTGATCTGAATGGATGGTCCATTCTGATAAAAAATTAAAAATTAAAAAAAAAAGGTTAGAAATTATTATCTGAGTCGATGGTTCAACCGTTCAAATCAACGCTTTACTGATCAAATAAACAGTTTTTAGATTTTAGAGTGAAACAGTTTCCGATTTTTCCAGTCTGACCGTCTGATTCAATCCGATTTTAAAAACATTGGAAGAAACTACCAAGGAAACCACAACCTTCATAAATGATAGCTATTAGCTTAGTAAGGACTACAATAATAATGTTATGATCATTATTCACATAAACAGCTAGTTATGGACTTATCATATCAGACTATTTTAAAGTTGTACTGTAATAGTATTTGCGTATGATCTTATTATGTTATTAAAATAACGCACATAAATAAATTATTATAAAATAAAAAAGCAACGAATTGGCAGTCCACCATTGTGGGCTGTCATGAAAGTTGCTTCTTAACTTCCATAGACTTTTCTCCCCTAGTTTGAAGTTTGAATATCCATCCTATTCATGACTTCCCAGAATCTTAGTGCTGCCAGAATTTGTTTGTGTGGCGTGTTTATTGCTTCTGTAGTTTCTTGTTGGGTTGATGATCATAATTCTATACCCATTTATGAAAATGAGTATGGTGGCAATTAACAGTTAATACTTTTAATTGGATAAAATCAAGTTTTTTTTTTCATTTTCCACTTTTACACTTTATGTTTTTTATTTTTTCAATTTTATTTAATTAACAGTTAATACTTGTAATTAGATAAAGCAAATAAAATAATAATAAAATCAATGTGGAACCTACTCCTCTTTTCCCTTAGGCCTTGTCTGATCTTCTCGTGAAACACCTACAGTAAACCTCTTCATTGATTAGATCCAACAGGTGTCAAGTATTAAATGATTTGCCCAAACCACGAATTCAAATTGAATGGAGGAATGAATTTTTTTGACCCCTCTGCTTTCATCATCGAACAATCAATTAGATTATTAAGTGAAACTTTTTTTGGTTTTCTCCATATTTTTCCCATTGCCCCTCTATTTCAATTATCTCTATTAACGTAATAAGTTGTATTTGATCGGAAAATGCTTTCAAGTTCATTATATTGATTCGTTTTAGGGTGTTTTTCCTTGATGATCTTTGGGCCAGTCCGATAATCCAACACCCTACCAACGTAATACCGTAGGGGTTTGGTACTTGGTAAGGCTATAGGGTTTTAGAATGCATTTTGTTGGTAGAAGATCCAGACTCTTCTATATAAATCAGACAGATGTTCGATTCAAATCCAAATATAAACAAATCAGGATCAACCTATATCCAAACGCTAGCGGTTAGATATACAAATAACGACCCCACCATTAAAAAGGCCAAATGTCGTCATTCACACATGATGCGAAGACATAAATTCTAAAACCCCAGTTATCTCCTTTAAACCCCTCTTTCCATAGTGTATATCTTATCCATTCCCCCTACTTCACGGAAATGGCATCTCTCTTATCCTACACACCTTTCTCCTTAGAATGACGAAAACAATCTAAATTACAAAAAAAACAAAGAAATACACAAAAAGTTTACAAAAAAAAAAATATAGAAAATCATAAACATTTCTATACCATACTAAAAGAATGAGAATGTTGCAATTGGTTTGCTCAAAACACCCTGATTTTACTTTTCAAATTTACCCTCAACTTTCTATTTTTTTTCCCATTGTATATACTGTCGTTGCAAAATAATTATGAAAAACATAAAATGAAGAAAATAATATAAATTATAAAAAAACAAAGAAATACAAAGAAAAATTACAAAAGAAAACATAGAAAATCATAGAAATTTCTATACCATACTAAAAAAATTAGAATATTGCAATTTGGTCAAAACCCCTGATTTTACTTTCCAACTTTACCCTCAACTTTCCTTTTTTTCCATTGTATATATGTCATTGCAAAATAATTCTGAAAAAACACAAAAAATAAAAAAAAAATAATATAAATTACAAAAAACAAAGAAATACATAAAAAAATTTACAAAAAAACATAGAAAATCATAAAAATTGAAGAAAAATAACATAAATTGCAAATTTATACCATACTAAAAAATGAGAATATTGCAATTGGTTTGGTCAAAAGACCTCGATTTTACTTTCCAACTTTACCTTCAACTTTCTATTTTTTTGCCATTGTATATATTGTCATTGCAAAATAATTGTGAAAAAAAAACATAAAATGAAGAAAATAACATAAATTACAAAAAAAAAACAAAGAAACATAGAGAAAATTACAAAAAAAAATAATAAAAATTGAAGAAAAAACATAACTTACAGAAAATTGTAGAATAAAATAAAAATTTATATCTACTATCATATATAAAAAATGAGAATGATTCTGTTAGTGTGGTCAAAAGACCCTGATTTTTTATACTAATTCTACCCCTTAGTTATTTGGTTATTCAGACATATCCCAGTTTTATATGAGGGTGCATGATAGTTATTGGCAAAAAAAAAAAGCCATTGTCTTTCTCTAAAAAGCCATTGGGTGGGCTAGGTACATAGGTTTGGGTTGAGCTTCAACCCAACCCACCTAACTCATCCATCAACTCGCTAATGACCCATTTTGGGTTCAACCCAAACCCACTATAACCCAATCCAACCTACCCAACCCATTAATTTTTCACATAATACATAAATTCTAGAAAAAACAACTATAAAAAATACATAAAATATAAATAAAGATAGAAAATGTAGAAAATAACATAAACAAAAGAAAAAATAAAAATTCCAAAAAGATTATGAAAAAACACAGAAAATGGAGAAAATAATATAAATTACAAAAAAACAAAGAAATACATAGAAAATTTACAAAAAAATGTACAAATCATAAAAATTGATCAAGAATAATAGAAATTACAAATAACAACGAAAAACCATAAATCGCAGAAAAATGAAAATATAGAAATTCCATTCCATGTGCCCAAAACATGTTTGTCAATTAGGCCCAGGTCTTACAAGGGCATTTGGCCATTGGGACTGTATGTTATGTGTGTGGTTGTTAAGTAGGGCCTGCAAGTCATGTCCTCAATCATATGCAATACTATGACACATTATGAATTGCTCGATTGTTTTATTCTTGGACATATGTATGGAGGTGCTCAGCATGGCTAGAAGGTGTTTTG